TTCATACCAGTTGTTTCCATGTTGTGTTTAGAAGCTGAAAGCCAGAGCGCGACTGATCTCCCCCGACGTCCGACAGATCGATCTGGACGTGAACAGAACCTACCGAGACCACATCATGTTCATGAATCGCTACGACGTCAAGTGAGTCTCGCCACACGGCGCTGTACAATGTTTACCACAAACATCACTGTGGTGCACCAGAAACGGCAAATAATCCCTGTTTCCTGTCTGCAGGCAGCAAGCGCTGTTCCACGTCCTAGCGGCGTACTCGCTCTACAACACGGTGCGTCGCAACAATCATCAAAGAAAGGGTTAAAAACAGAAAAGCAGAAAATAAAACTCAGTAACCTACTGAAGATTTCTGCAGAAACAATCCAAACTTATTTATTTTTGTTAAGTTGATTTGCTAAAGTTTGTTTTGCTGCAGCAGATTCAGCTTCCTGTTGATTTACAAACATTTCTGGGTGGATGTGTCATTAAAACTCTAATTCAGAGTTTCATGCTTCTTATTTATCCAGATGTGCATAAATACATCTACGAGCATCTCAGAGAGCGTAGGCAACCTGTTTGTGAAATAACGACTAGAAACATCCTTTAATGTCTAGAAGTGGAGACATTTTAATTATTTTCATTCTGCAGCAAATTTAGATCTAAAGTTAGGATTCGATTTCCCAAAGACTCGGAGCAGACACAAATCCTGCTTTGTGATTGGCCGGTTGCAGGTTTTTCTGGTTTTCGGGCTCATTAGGACTCCGTAGTAAAGCTGATGGCTGTGTTATTTATGATAAACGTCTGTCTGCAGGAGGTGGGCTACTGCCAGGGCATGAGTCAGATCACAGCTCTGCTGCTGATCTACATGAACGAGGAGGACGCCTTCTGGGCTCTGGTCAGGCTGCTGTCGGGACAGAAGCACGCCATGCACGGTATCCCGGACCAACGCGCGGATGAGTGTGTTCCTGATCCACGCTGTCTCTAACTATGCTCTCTGCCTTCAGGCTTTTTTGTCCCCGGTTTCCCAAAGTTGATGCGTTTCCAGGAACACCACGACCGGATCCTGAAGAAGATGATTCCCAAACTGAAACATCACTTGGTGAGATACGGTATTATAGTCAAAGCCAGGGATAAATCTAGAACATGAACACTCAGATCCTTCTATAGAGCTCCGGGAGTTAATGTCACGTTTCCCGGCATGCAACAGTTCAAATCGAAACGGCGCCATATTGGCAGGCAGAAGCCCGCAGCTGGACTATTTGTTATTTTCAGAAAACTCAATCAGACAGGAAATATGGTAGATTCCTGTTGTGCCCCAGGATGCAGAACAGATGCGGACAACATAAGGAATGAGTCATCTACAGGATTCCCCAAGATCCGGAGCGCCGCAAACGTTGGATCATTGTAGTAAAACGCGCTAGTGACCGGGCTAAAATGAAACTGTGGGATCCAGAGAGTAAAGGTTTTCGCTTATGCAGCGACCGCTTCATATCAGGTACTTAAACCAACGTTTCCTCAACTGTGTATGGTATTTATTTTAAATGCTTTTATTACGATTCTTAGTGGGCTTCCTAAACTTATTTTGGCGCGGCTTTTTCTGTCTTATTACTCATAGCAACAAGTAAACGTCATGTAAAACGTTGCCTCGTGAGTTCTGCGTGCTGCCGTTTACGTGTTTTATGATCACAGCAATTAACCGGCTAAGCTGTATTTAATTTTTAAGCAGTGGTTGATCAATTGTCAGATCACACATAAAAAGCACTTTGGATTACTATTATCTGTCTCACCGAGACGGATCTCAGACAGATCCTGAGACGCTCCTGCCTGACATATTTATTTTATTCACGGAAAAAAATCAGACTAGTGATTTCTCTTGGCGTTCAGTTTATACATTCAAACAGCACAGCACTTTATTTAAACTACTTACGTGTAAATCTGTTATTTGTCCATCCATCCATTTTCATCCGCTTATTCGGAGTCGGGTTGCGGGGGCAGTAGCGTCAAGTGGCCCAGACTTCCCTCTCCCCAGCCACTTGGGCCAGCTCCTCCGGGGGAATCCCAAGGCGTTCCCTGGCCAGGTCCGCTCCGACAGCTTCTGGCGTTTTTAAAAAGTATCCCAGGGGCACGGTAAGGGTCGGAGATGTTTAGTCTATTTAATTTCTGACTATATAAAATTATTTCTTCGGTTTTAAAGTGTCAAGTAAACTCTGACGAAGTAAAATCCTAGCCGATCTCGTTCATGTTCATGTTTACAATCCGTGTTTGTTTACCTTTTTTTCCTGCCAATATGGCGTCTACTAACTGAGAGTCACGTGGGGTCCGGAGCTCTATGGAGGAGATCGGCTGCTTAGGATCTTCTGGAGGTTTCTTCCTGTTCAAAGGGAGTTTTCCTCTCCACTGTTGCTACATGCTTGCTTAGTATGAGGATTGCTGTAAAGACTGGGTGTTTCTCAATGCCAAGGAACCTTGCCTTGATGTCTTGGCCCCACCCCGGTTGCCTAGGAGATACGTCATCAGGAGCCGCCAAGGCGTGTTCCAATGTTCATGTTCTACCGAGGCGTGTGTTCTCCGTTTGTTAGCCGTTTAGCTAGCTGAGCGAGGATACACGGGAGGTGTCTTGTACAGGGTATCTGCAGGTTTAAGGGAGCCAAATTTAAGACTTTTTAAGACCTTTTTTAAAGCCACTTTGACCAAATGTATGCAATTATTTAAAATTAAATTTAGGCTATAATTTCCAGCTATTGCCTGGAACCGGTGCGAACCACATCGTGAACGTGGGATTAACCATCCAGTTACCATTAAACTTGCACTTCCCATTGGCACAAGCCCCCACTAGCTTAACCAGCTAATGTGCTCATCTCTCACAACCAACTGAATGTGTACGGTTCCGCTCATGCCAATATCATACTCAAAAATGCTGAACACTAACTAGAAATTCACGAAATTTTTATAGAAATAAAAGAATCTTGTTTATTGGGTCTTTGGTCATTTAAGACCTTTGGAAACTGTATTTAAGGATTATTTGTTATTTCTAAGGATTTTTAAAGTCTTAAATTTGGAAAAGCAAATTTAAGACTTTTTAAGGACCCGCGGATACGCTGCTTGTAGCCTAGCCTTGGTCAAAAATTATGGCCTTGGTGGGCGACGGTGGCACAGCAGTTAAGTGCTCGCCCCGTAATCGGAAGGTTGCTGGTTCAAGCCCCGCTCAGTCTGTCGCTGTCGTTGTGTGCGGGTAGTAACTCACTTATATATTTAATTTAATAAACATATACACAATTTAAAAAGTAAAAGCCTCGTTATATATTTATAATGAAACTAATACGTATAAAATATAACGTTATCTCCCGTGTCACGTGACGTTACGTGACCGCCGTGGAAGCCGCGGTCACGTGATGCAAGTCTGTTCCATTTAACCGTTTTCTTTAACCAACGAAGGACAGCGTCCTAAGCAAGGCGCCTGGCCTCGCAATGCCAGTCGCCCTGACACTGAGAAACACCCCCTGACACTAGTCAGTGACTCGATGCAACCTGCTGGGTTCCTTATACAGGAAACCTTTAACTGGTTGGCTTAATGACCTGACCCGTATTGGAATGTTTACTGTGTGAAGGTCCTTGAGACGACTCTTTTGGCGCGTTATAAATAAAATGAATTGAATTGTTAGCACATGATGTTTCTCTGCTGCAGGACAACCAGGAAGTGTTCACCAGCCTTTACACTATGAAGTGGTTCTTCCAGTGCTTCCTGGACAGAGTGAGTGCCCTAAGTGACGCTTTATACAGGTGATGGTCATAAAATGAGGATATCAGGACAAAGTTGATTTATCTCATCAATCCCATTCAAAAGTGAAACTTGTGTATTAGATTTGTTCATTACACACACTGGTTTATTTCTAATGTTGATGATTATAGCTGACAGCTGAAGAAAGTCCCTAATTCAGTATCTCAGAATATTAGAATATCAATTAAGAACAATGCAACAGAAGGAATTTTAGAAATGTTGGTCAACTGAGAAGTATGAACATGAAAACATGAGCATGAGTTTGTAGTTGATGCTCCTTTGGCCTGGATTACTGCAGCAATGTGGCGTGGCATGGAGTCCATCAGTCTGTGGCGCTGCTCAGGTGTTATGATGTTGCTCTGATAGTGGCCTTCAGCTAGGGCTGGGCGATGGGGCCTCAAACCAACATCACCATATATTGAGGATTTCACCTCAATAACGATAAATAGTTGATAACTACAGGTATGCGCAGAAACAAAAGCTGTCCACTAGATGGCGTTGTCACATGTATTACGTTCAAGGTGGTACAGCTTCTTAAAGGGACATGAACATTGCCAACCTACACACATATTTTCTTTTTTTTAATTATCAGATTTATTGACATTGGAAAAATTGTCTCGATAAGAGTCTGAAATTTTGATAACGATGCATTTTTGGTTTACTGCCTAGCCTTACCTTCAGCTCTTCAGAGCTGTTGGGTCTGCCGTATTGCATCTTCCTTTTCACAACACCCCATAGATTTGCTGTGGTGATGCTATGGTCAGGCCAGTTTACTGGCCAGTCATGAACAGAGTGGTCCTGGTCCATAAACCAGGTACTAGTAGCTTTGACGCTGTGTGCTGGTGCCAAGTCCTCTGTATCTTCATAAAGTTGGTCTGCAGCAGGAAGCATGAAATGCTCTAAAACGTCCTGGTAGACGGCTGTGTTGACTTTGGACCTCAGAAAACTCAGTGGACCTAGCCCTAACCCATTTAACCCCCCAATCAAACACCTTGAAGCTGAATGTCAGCCAGGGAGGCACTGGGTCCTATTGAGCCTACCGGTTCTGAACCCTGATCTCCCAGAGCAGACACTCTATCACTAGGCCTCTGAGCTGGTTGAACCTTTTCTAATATTCTAATATTCTGAGATACAGAATTTGGGATTTTCATTAGTTCTCTGTTATAATCATTAAAATTAAATAAACATTTGAAATATACAAGTCTGTGTAATTTTTGACCAGCACTTGTAGATGGTTCTAGACAAATGTAAGAACAGATCTGAGTGTGAGCCTCGATGACCCCAGAAGCCATGTTGTTCTGGGTGGGTGGGGGGGGGTGGGGGTGGGGGGGGTGGGGGGGGGGGGGGGGGGTCTGCGTAAAGCCTTCCAGTGAACACAAGAACTAGGAGCCCTGAGTTCCTTACATGGTGCTGGGATGTCTCTGCTGAGCGGCATGGATGTTGAGAACAGGACTGATGGTGGACCAGAGGGTGTGTTCCAACTACACAGGCCTCGGACTCCTCAGCCTCTGTGGGAAGGTCTATGCCAGGCCGGAGAGGAGAGGGTGGAGAGTCCGGATCCTGAAATTCAGGAGGAATTCCCTTTTCATCATCCTGGTCGAGGGACACCGGACCGGCTCTTTACGTTTACATGGGCAGGAGCTTGAACCTCCAACAGACATTGCAGCACATCAGCACCTGCTTTTCCACCAGCATGACTTTACTCTACTCAGTTGGGCCTGGTTCTAAAGTGTTTCCATTAGTAACGATTACCAGGGTGCCGCCCCATTACAGTACCTGCTTCGATTAGGTCCCAAGCATGCTGAAGCAGGCCATGTCAGAGGACTTTGGTTACTGATTGGCCAAGGGGCGGAGTCTGTGGTTGCTCCTGTGATGAGCACGAACCACCTTGGGATTCCACTTCTGGACTCACTGTTGGGAGTCCGCAGCTCTCCCCTAACCATAAACACAATTAAACCTGTGTCTCTTCTCAAGGTGAGCTTGTTGTTGAGGATAAACAAATATTTAATAGTTAATTACTGCAATAAGAACATCTCTATGTTGAGTTTGGACCTTTGTAAGAACATACCTAACAGTAACGGTCTGAAAGCGTTGGTTAGATGAGTAAACTAAAGACTCCTGTGATGTTCTGTTGTTTGTGGTCAGACGCCCTTCACGCTCACCCTCAGGATCTGGGACGTCTACATTTTGGAGGGAGAGCGGATTCTGCCGGCCATGTCCTACACGATCCTCAAACTGCACAAGAGTAAGACCCAACTAGGCGTGCCTCTACCAGCCGATGCATCAAAACTCAAAAACAGCAGGATGTTTGTGTTGCAGAGCACCTGATGAAGCTGTCCATGGAGGAGCTGGTGGAATTTCTGCAGGTGTCATTAGCCAAAGATTTCTTCTACGAGGACGACTTTGTAATCGAGCAGCTCCAGGCGTCCATGACGGAGCTCAGGAGGGCTAAGCTGGAGCTTCCAGCGCCAGGTACTGGAGATATCCACTAAAACGAGCTGTTAAAGTGGAGACTCAGCTGGTTCGTCTTCCTGCTGCCTCTAACCTGTTTTTCTGCTCGTCTCCTCGTTAATCTGCCTTCTCTCCCTCTCCTCTCGAACTATGTTAGCCAACAACTACAAAAGTGTGGCTGTGAGTGGCGGCCACATTCCCTCCTACAACAGTAATCGGTGGGCTATCCTGACTGGTCTTCTTCATGTCTCTGTCCATCTGTCCCTCCGTCCTGTCTGTCTCCTGTCTGTCCAACAGCACTCGGGTTTTTCGCTTCGCCTTTATTCCTCCAACATTATAGTTTAAACGCAGTCGAGTCCTGCGTCGCTCATCAGAGTTCTGGTCCTGCTGCTTAAAGACATGTCGTAGAAAACTGTTTAAAACTTCTAGAAAGTACTAGGGGTGTGACGGTACGCCTATCGTCCTAGGTGGGTACGTACCTGGGTGTTAACGTCTCGGTTCGGGTCATCTTTGCTAGGTGAGGTAACAAAGCGAACAGTTATGTTGTAAAACAAAAGTACACAACACAACTGTTTAGGAAACTGTGACATCAGAAGTGAAATTAACTTCCTGTATTTCCTCAAGTGAGACATTAAAGCTGTTTTTCAATGTCAAGTCGCCCGGCCTTGAGAGGTGATGTCTTGCGAGGACACTGTACTTCCTTGGTCAAAGAAAAATGTTAAATGGAACATTTCCATGGCAGTCACGTAACGTCATGTGACACGGGAGATAACGCTATATTTTATATGTATTAGTTTCAATATAAATATATTCAATTCAATTCAATAATACTTCATTAATCCCAGAGGGAAATTAGAGTTTCAGTACACACATTTCCAAGATCAGACATACATACATAGACACATGACAAGAATTGGTGACTGTGGTCATTCGCAACCCAAGTCGCGCTACCGTAATAGTTCAAAAGGGTTTATATGAGGATAGAGTCAGGGGGAGGGGAAAAATGCACTTCAGTTACCCTCCACAGAGAGGGTAGCTTTGCTATGCAAAAAAACACCTCAGACAGATATGCACACAGACTTCAGACGATACACAACATAAGTGTCCACTAGGTGGGGAGGTAGGGTTGGGACTCTCCTCACTTCAGTGCGTGCAGCCACGATAAGCAGCGCTCGTCACCTCTGTTTGGACAGAGGAGGGAGATAATGGTTTAGAGAGCACATTGACTCCTAGATACGGTTCCACGGCCTTCACCGGTCACAGTCTCGCCCAAGCTGGTAGAGGGAGAAAGAGTTGCCATAGCAACAGCAGCATTCCACATTTCTTCTGAGGGGGGAGTTTTCACTTCAGCCTCACAGGCTCAAGGGCACCAGATTCAGATAAGAATTGTTTCGGGTACAGACAGATAATTTCCTCTCTGCCTTAGTGTTTGTTGGTCTTCATCCCCTCTAAATCCAATAATGGCGTAATTAATCTGTCCCAATCTGCGCTGATCCGTCCACAACTCTGTCCTTGATGGTATCCACCTTTTTTGCCAGAGTCTGAATCACAGCCAAAGTTCCAAGCTTACGAATCATCTCGAGAATTATATGAGTTCGAGTTTACAGCGCAATGCATTCCATCCCTGAGCTCTGGGATTGAGCCAATATTCCTCAAAAGCTCGTTAATTTTCCCGTAAGCCAGGTAACCGCTCAGGCCAAGCAGCAGGAATCCGAAACCCAAAACCACGAATATCCGGACATTTTCAGAATCCTCTACAGGCAGTTGAGAGAGGCATATCAGGTTCCACTGTTTCCAGGAGTCCATGATATACCCAGCTGGCTCTGTCCCAGAGGAGCATCCGGGAGCCCCTTCTCCCGTTCTCATCGTTGAAAAAATTTTGTCAATTGCGTTGAGAGACCAACTGACCAGATCCATGTTTAATAATTTCCAGTTTCCAGAAAAAATGCAGAAGCGCCGTGCACACAAGACAGGACAACGAGCCTTGGGATAAGAGAGGGAGGGAGAGGAGAAAAAAGCATCTCCAAGAGCTAGAAGAGAAAAAAGAGGCTTTTACTTTAAAATTGTGTATATGTTTATTAATTTCAAAATATAAGTGAGTTACTACCCGCTAGCCACCGAAGTTGCAACTACTAAGCAACTAACCAACCATAGATGACTTCTTTGGATCTAAAAAAAAAACATTTTAAATTAGTTGACTTACTTTTAAACTTGAAATTTGCCCCGAAGTAGCTGCCGGCTTCTGATCCGCCGTCCTTTTGAAAATACTGCAGTGCATTCTGGGTAATTTTTGACCAAGGCCAGGCTACAAGACACCTCCCGTGTATCCTTGCTCAGCTAGCTAAACGGCTAACAAACGGAGAACACACGCCTCGGTAGAACATGAACATTGGAACACGCCTTGGTGGCTCCTGATGACGTATCTCCTAGGCAACCGGGGCGGGGCCAAGACATCAAGGCGAGGTTCCTTGGCATTGAGAAACCCTCTAAGAGTTCCAGCTTGCAGCCTTGTTCAGGGTCATCCAAACTTCATGTTTTTGATATAAATATTAATTTGTCTGCTGAGAGGACAGATCTGTAGGTAGTTATGTCTTTGGGATAGAGACAGTTTGCTACATCTACTTTTAAATTCTCCCATTTAGCATTGTCATGGTTGTTGCGTGATGGGAGATACTTCGAGGTAAGGAAGGGAATAAAACAGAAGCTAGGCAACCGTTCACTTCTGGTCTCCCAGTTTACGAAGGACTCGGTGTCTGACACCGGCCAACGAAGGCGGGTAGGAAAAGTCCTCATGAATTTGGACACAGCTGGCTAATGAGCAACGCAGCTACACATCTGTGTGTGACCTCAGTAAGCGTCTATCTTGTTCCAGAAAAATCCAAATTTAAATTCAAAGAACCGTTACAGTCCTAGAAAACGCAGAAATACTGACCGGATATCATTGTTCTTTATGCTGGCAGCGACTTTAAATTCTATACTTCTATTCATGAGACAGGTCCTATAGTCTTATACAGGTGAGGAGGTCAAATACCACAAATTACTTTTACTGTAAAAAGGTTTTTTCAGACAGTCTTCACACAGAAATCATCTGATGATTGACGGCATTCCAGCTGATGTGATGGTATTGTTCTAAAGGTCCGTTAGAACCATCAGCATTTGTGATTCAGCTACTGACACGGTTTGGCTCAAAATCTATCAAATTTCCAGAGTTGGTGCCATTCTTAGACGTGGCGGCCATCTTGAATTTGACTGTAGCATTCATAATATAAAATTGCGGCGACATTTGTGTCTCAGCGTGTAAATATCACAAACTGTTGGTTTAAATCTAGCCTCATTGAAGGTTTTTACAGAAAAGGTCTGATCTGAAACTGACGGTTCATCCTGTGACTGACTGAAAACGATGAGACTCGAGACCCAGTAGCTCCTGGATCACTGCTGCACCACTTCCTGCCTGGTGACCTCACTTCCTTTTCACCTTCACTGTGTCTGTAAATGTGTGAAAAACTTTATTGTCACTGCTTGGTTGAAATGCTTTCACTTAGAAGTCAGAGTTGATTAAAGAAACGTGACCTTTTGAGCCTGGAGCTGCTGAATGGAGCCGGACTAGAGCGCACTCGGCTGAGAGCCGCTTCCTAATCTAGTCTCCCTTCGTGGGGAATCGTTTCAACGTGGTTTCTGATGTGATTTTGTGTTGTTTTGAGTGTAACTTTTTTGTTGTTGCATGAATTCATTTCCCTGTTGTGACTCATCTGGTGTGAATCCAAGCCACACATTTCCAGACATATTTGTTGTTTCCTGACTGACTTTACGTGTTTCTATTCTCATGTTGCAGCTAAAGAAGAAGAATTTCCCAAGAAGCCTTTGGGCCAGCTTCCTCCGGAGGTAACAGCACCGGTGCTGAACCATGTGGGCAATGGACAGAGCCACGCTGATCCGGCCGAGCCACACGGGATCGCTAGTCCGGTACTGGAACCCCAGGGCAACAGTCGACCCTCGAGCCTGGCACGCCGGGAATCGCTGGATAAACTGACCAAGAACACAAAGGTGGACAAAAGGGATGTCCATTCAAGGGGATCGAACGACATCCCAGGAGAGCAAAAGAAACAGTCCACCACTGCCACACCTGAGAGAGGAGGGAGTTCCCCTTTGGGACCCTCCCCAGTGTCTCCGATCACAGCGGTGGACAGCAGGAAGCCTCAGAGCCACGCCATCGCCAACCACAATCCCGACGCTGCCTCCAGCTCACACAGATCCATCACCCCCCGCTGGGTCAAACCTTCCGAGACAAAACTGGAAGCTGCCAAAGCTGCAGCCTCCCTAGATATCCGGCTGAGCCGTGGGACTTCACCAGCTCCGTCCAGTCCAGAAGACAGCTCTCAGCCCCAACGCAGACCAAAATCCAAAGGATTCGTCTCTGGGGCTGAGCGAGGCTCCAACGCTTCTCAGTACGACAACGTTCCAGGGCTGCCAGAACAGGACTTTGAGATTTTGGATCTGGACAGACCACCAACCAGAATGAGGACCCCTCACAACGAAACGCAGTTTAGTGTGCCAGCATGGCATCAGAGCAGCCCCAGCCGAGGACAAAACCTGGACGGAAGTACCGCTTTGTCCTCATCAGGACCCAGAATTGTTAGGCAGCCTCTCCCTGCTCAGTTCTCTCACAACAACCCAGTAGGGGTCCCAGCCAGCCAAAACCAGTATCCTCCCCACCAGCATTCCCCAAGGAGAACTACAACAGAGGTCCCCATCCTCCACCCGGGTTACAGCGTGAGTCTGGACCACAGAGGGGACAGCAGACTCCATGGACCCTCAGGTTTTAGCTCACCCTCCAGGGAACTTGTGTACGCCACCACCCAGCGGCAACCCAGCACTGTCTCCCCTGAGAAGGCTTTCCTAAATAATTCCTACGCCACCTACCGAAGGCAGCCACCACCAGGAATCTCCACCCGCAACCTCCCAAACACCAGATCTCCACCCAACCAGTTCCTGAGGCTAGAACCCCAGAGCAGCTCCACCCCTATCTACCTGCAGCAGCTTACATCCACCTCACAGATCTACACCGTCATGGACCACAGAGCCGAGGGGCACCTGAGGGGCGAGTCCAACCTGCCACGGTGGGATCCAGAAAACCCTCTTCCCCCTCCCTCACCTGGTGGCATGCACCGATCGCCCAGCTTCCAGCAAGCACAAATGTCTCCAGTTCGAGAGTTCACCTTCCCCCCGAACCCTCAAGTCCCGCCTCAATACAGGACCCAGTTCCAGGAGCAGCGGCCACAGCTCCCCCAGCTGTTCGGAGGATCACACTACAGGCACGCCCAGGAGGCGTTTGCCATGCAGGAGTCCATGCTGCTGTGACTGAGCAACCAGACACTGTAGCTAACTGACACGTAGTCTCTGACACTGTGATGAAGACGAGCTTCATCTGGGACCTGACGATCTGCATCGTAACGCTGCAGGACACCAGCCTCTGTCGTTTCTACTGATCACTTTAAAACTGACTGAAGATTTTATTTTATTTTTGGATGTAAATCATTAACAGAGGTTACAGTATATATATATATATATATATATATATATATATATATATATATATATATATATATATATATATATATATATATATATATATATATATATATATATATATATGTACACACACATACATATATATCTTTTAGAGTCTGACAGTGTACAGTGGAATTTTTGTGTTAATATTCTAAAGTTATTAGTGTCACAGGAGTGTTTTCTCCTTAAAGAAGCAAAATGGATTCTTTATTTTTTATATCTTACAGCTAACTCCACATGCTTGTGAATGTGTCTTTAAAACTGTTCTACTACCTAGACAGCAGGTCAGCGGACGTCTTTAGTTCAGTCATGACAGGAAACACTGGTTTGACCGTGTGGTTTCTAACAGAAATGCTTCAGTTGTCGTTACAGTTCCATTTCAGTTAGACTCCTGATTGTTATGTGATGCCTATGGTTTTAATTATAAACACTGAGGTATGTGAGTGTAGAGCAATACAAATGTCACATGACTCACTTAGCAACAACCGTTTTAGTTGGTCTCGGGCATCCCAAGGTGGATGTAAACAACTTTAACTAGGTTTTGATTTCAACACTGTTAACTATTGTTTGCTTTTCATGGATTTACTGTCACACTACAGGTAACAGGTGTGTGTGTGTGTGTGTGTGTGTGTGTGTGTGTGTGTGTGTGTGTGTGTGTGTGTGTGTGTGTGTGTGTGTGTGTGTGTGTGTGCGTGCGTGCGTGCGTGCGTGCGTGCGTGTGTGTGAGAGAGAGAGAGAGATAAATTTCAGTGATCAGTCACAATACTTTTTACTACTCCCAGTACTTTAGAAGTTATTTTCAGTGCAACAGTTAATTACGGTTCCTGATTTTCCCAAACTTCTATTTGCTCTAAACTAAACTGTCATCAATAAAAAGAAGTGGGTAAAAATGTCTGATTCTGTGTATACTGACACATACTATATTAAGTCACATTCTAAGAAACGTACTATAATAGGACATATACTATAATAGGACACATACTATAATAGGACACATACTATATTAAGTCACATTCTAAGAAACGTACTATAATAGGACATATACTATAATAGGACACATACTATAATAGGACACATACTATACTAAGACAAACTATAGTAAGACACATACTATAGTAAGACACTTTAATAAGACACATACTATAGTAAGACATACTATGGTAAGACACATACTTTAAGACCCATACTATAGTAAGACACATAATATAATAGGACATGTACTATAGTAAGACATGCTACATAATGACACATACTAAAGTAAGAAACATGCTAAGACACATGGTACACATATACAGTAAGACACATACTTTAATATGATTCTATGGAAATACACATACTATAGTAAGACGAACACTATAATAACGCACTATCACAGAACACGTAGTAAGACACATGAAAGACATACTATAGTAAGACACATAATATAATAGGACACATTCAACATGCAAAGACACATACTGTAATAGAACACATACTATAGTAAGACACATGCTAAGACACCTACTATAATAAGACACATTATAGTAGGATACATACAATAGCAAGACAAATACTATAATATGACACATACTATAGTAAGACACTATAACCGGACACATACTATAGTAAGACATGCAAAGACACAAACTGTAGTAAGACACATGCTATAATATGACTGATTGTATAGAAATACACCTACTATAGTAAGACACATACTATAATAAGAAACATACTATATTAGGACACCTACAGTAAGACACATGCTATAATAGGACACATACTATAGTAAGACAAATATTAGGACACATACTATAGTAAGACACATGCTATATGATGACACATACTATAGTATGACTGATTCCAAAGGGATACACTTACTATAGTAAGACAAACACTATAATAACGCACATACTATAATAGGACACGTACTATAGTAAGACACATGCAAAGACACATACTATAACAAGACACATACTATAATAGGACACATACTATTATATGATACATACTATAGTAAGACACATACTATAGTACGACACATATTATAAGACGATACATACTATAGTAAGACAAATACTATAATAGGACATATTCTATAGTAAGGTACACATATATAGTCAGACACCTACTATAGTATGACTGATTCTAAAGAAATACATATACTCTAGCAAGACAAACACTATAATAACATGCATACTATATTAAGACACATACAGTAATAGGACACATACTACACTGACACATGCTAAGACACATACTATAATCGGACACATACTATTGTAAGACACATGCTATAATAGGACACATACTATAGTAAGACACATAATATAATAGGACACATACTTTGCAAGACACATACTATAATAGGACACATACTATGGTAAGACACATACTATAATAGGATGCACACTATAATAAAACACATTCTATAGTAAGACACATACTAGAGTAAGACACATGCTATAATAGAACACATACTATAATAAGGCACATGCTAAGACGCATACTATAGTAGGACACATACAATAGTAAGATATATACTATAATGTGATACAAAGACACATACTGTGGAAAGACACATATGTAATAGGACACGTACTATAGTAAGACACATGCTATACAATGACACATACTATAGTAAGAAACATGCTAAGACACATGGTACACATATACAGTAAGACACTTACTATAATTTGACTGATTCTATAGAAATACACATACTACAGTAAGACACATACTATAATAAGACACATACAATAATAGTACACATACTGTAGTAAGACACATGCTATAATAGGTCACATACTGTAGTAAGACACATAATATAATAGGACACGTACTATAGTAAGACACATGCTATATAATGACACATACTATAGTAAGAAACATGCTAAGACACATGGTACACATATATAGTAAGACATACAATAGTATGACTGATTCTAAAGAAATACACATACTATAGTAAGACAAACACTATAATAACACACATACTATAATAGGACAGATAGTATAGCAAGACACATTCAAAGACACATAATGTAGTAAGACACATGCTAAGACACATATTATAACAGAACACATACTATAGAAAGACACATGCAAAGACACATACTATAGTAAGACACATGTTATAATAGGACACATACTATAGTAAGACACATAATATAATAGGACATGTACTATAGTAAGCCACATGCTAAGACACATACTATAGTAGGATACATACAATAGTAAGACACATACTATAAAATGATATATACTAAAGTAAGACACTTACTATAATAGGACACATACTATAGTAAGAGACATACTATAATTAGACACATACTATGGTAAGACACATACTATAATAGGACACATACTATAATAAGACACATGCAAAGACACATACTATAGTAAGACAAATGCTATAATAGGACACATACTATAGTAAGACACATAATATAATATGATACGTACTATGGCAAGACACATACTATAATAGAACATATAGTAAGACACATGTTAAGACACATACTATTGTAAGACACATACTATGGTAAGACACATACTCTAATAAGACACATGCCACAGTAGGCCACATAGAATAGTAAGACACATAGTATAGTAGGTCACATACTATAGTAAGACACATACTATGGTAAGACACATACTATAATAGGACCCATACTATAATAAGTCACATACTATAGTAAGACACATGCTAAGACACAGACTATAATAGGACACATACTATAGCAAGACACATGCTATAATAGGACACATACTATAGTAAGACCCATTCTAAGACACATGGTATACATATATAGTAAGACATACTAAAATATGACTAATTCTAAAAAATACACATACTATAGTAAGGCAAACACTATAACAACATACATATTATAATAGGACAGATACTATAGCAAGACACATTCAAAGACACATACTGTAGTAAGACACATGGTAAGACACATTCTATAACAGAACATACTATAGTAAGATGCATGCAAAGACAAATACTATAGTAAGACACATGCAAAGACACATGCTATAGTAAGACACATGCTATAATAGGACAAATACTATAATAAGACACATAATATGTTCCAGAACGCAGCAGCGCGTCTGGTCTTCAATTAGGAAACTTACTATAGTAAGACACATACTACAATAAGACACACACTATGGTAAGACACATACTATAATAGGACACCTACTATAGTAAGACACATGCAAAGACACATACTATAACAGGACACATACTTTAGTAAGACGCATGCAAAGACACGTACTATTGTAAGATACATGCTATATAATGACACATACTATAGTAAGAAACATGCTAAGACACATGGTACACATATATAGTAAGACATACAATAGTATGACTGATTCTAAAGAAATACACATACTATAGTAAGACAAACACAATAATAACACACATACTATAATAGGACAGATAGTATAGCAAGACACATTCAAAGACACATAATGTAGTAAGACACATGCTAAGACACAAACTATAACAGAACACATACTATAGAAAGACACATGCAAAGACACATACTATAGTAAGACACATGTTATAATAGGACACATACTATAGTAAGACACATAATATAATAGGAAACGTACTATAGTAAGCCACATGCTAAGACACATACTATAGTAGGATACATACAATAGTAAGACACATACTATAAAATGATATATACTAAAGTAAGACACTTACTATAATAGGACACATACTATAGTAAGACACATACTATAATTAGACACATACTATGGTAAGACACATACTATAATAGGACACATACTATGATAAGACACATTCAAAGACACATACTATAGTAAGACACATGCTATAATAGGACACATACTATAGTAAGACACATAATATAATATGATACGTACTATGGCAAGACACATACTATAATAGAACATATAGTAAGACACATGTTAAGACACATACTATTGTAAGACACATACTATGGTAAGACACATACTCTAATAAGACACATGCCACAGTAGGACACATAGAATAGTAAGACACATAGTATAGTAGGTCACATACTATAGTAAGACACATACTATGGTAAGACACATACTATAATAGGACCCATACTATAATAAGTCACATACTATAGTAAGACACATGCTAAGACACAGACTATAATAGGACACATACTATAGCAAGACACATGCTATAATAGGACACATACTATAGTAAGACCCATTCTAAGACACATGGTATACATATATAGTAAGACATACTAAAATATGACTAATTCTAAAAAATACACATACTATAGTAAGGCAAACACTATAACAACATACATATTATAATAGGACAGATACTATAGCAAGACACATTCAAAGACACATACTGTAGTAAGACACATGGTAAGACACATTCTATAACAGAACATACTATAGTAAGATGCATGCAAAGACAAATACTATAGTAAGACACATGCAAAGACACATGCTATAGTAAGACACATGCTATAATAGGACAAATACTATAATAAGACACATAATATGTTCCAGAACGCAGCAGCGCGTCTGGTCTTCAATTAGGAAACTTACTATAGTAAGACACATACTACAATAAGACACACACTATGGTAAGACACATTCTATAATAGGACACCTACTATAGTAAGACACATGCAAAGACACATACTATAACAGGACACATACTTTAGTAAGACGCATGCAAAGACACGTACTATTGTAAGATAC